TTTGGCAAACTTTTTGTGTTACTGTATGGTTTTCAGTACGAGTCTTTGGTTCGATCAGTTGTATCACTCTGTTAATAGTGCGTGTACTTTCATTTGTCTGATTATTTTGTGTCCCCCCCCCCCACGGATGCAAATTTAGTTATTAGACTTCGTGACACAAGAATCAAATCCAAGCGGATAACCAAAATTTCCGTATTATGTACCGCGGTTATAATATGGTTCAAGATGACACACGGGATGGTGACGTCAGTTACTCGAATCGCTTGAACGCGTTGGTTTTAACCGCGGTTTTGTTGCAAGTTGTTTATTTTAGAAAAGCGCGTATATAATCTCTAATTATTTTTATTATCACTTAATAATCGGTGCTTTTTCGTCTACAACTGTATATGGAAAGTTTAAATAAGAAACCTTTCATAATATTCATGGGAGACATGTTTTTTTCAGATTTTTTTTTAATGATGGAACCATGGCTTTGTAGCTATGATAACTTTCAATTCTCTAAATTTTTCCGCATGTCAAAGAAAACATTTATTGATTCAGCAGAAATGATGATAAAAGAAATTAGCAAAACCGTATACAGGTGGATATCATCTAGTGAGTTTATATGGCCATATTTTAATATTCTTGTGGTTTATGGCTACACAGGATACTTTGTTAAGCATAGGAACTACATTTAAAGTGTCCCCAACAACCGTAATGAGTATAACTAATAAGGTGCTCCACATTATGGTAAAACTGAAGTCAGCCTGTATCAATTTTCTCAAAAATGAAGCTGAAGTACAATAACAATATCCAATACCCGGCAAAATTCTAACTTGTCACATTTCAAATAATAACCAGAAATATAAAACTACTCTTGAGTTGGGTAAATACCACAATTTTGCGGTGATAACTATGACATATAACAGCTGATTCGTGACGTCACGGATCTTATAACCAAACTGATAACTACAATCGCTTGAACGGATTGGTAAATACCAAGCCAAAATGGTAAATACCATTTCCATTTGGTTATCCGCTTGAATTTGATTAAGATATTTAAAAGAACAACGAGGAGGTCACGCTGGAAGTCATGCTCAACCTGAAATGTTACAAACTGAGGAAGACATTTTAGAAATGGTCGAAGACCACCCAACATTGAGTACTAGAGCTAAGCAGCTCAAGTTGAAGTTTCTCATAGTAAAGTGTGGATGACAAAGCGACAAGAGCAGTATCATTATCAACTTATTTTCAATATGGATTTTCATTAAATGTTTGGGCTGCCATGGTAAATGGCATGCTTATTGGACCCTACGTTTTCCACTTCGACTGACCGGTGAAATTTATATAGATTTTTTTCAATTATTAGAAGATGTTCGTCTAAATGTGATTCAGAATATGTGGCTCCTACATGATGGGGCTCTACCATATTTTAGACGAGAAGTTCATCGAATATTTAAATAATGAGTATCCGTATAGATGGATATGGCACAATGGAGTCATTTCTTGGCTTGCACGCTCCCCGGATTTAACGCCTTGCGATTTTTTTCTGTGGGTCTATTTGAAAGAGTTGGCGTATCATGATGAAGCAGTAAATACTCTGGAAAAACTTCAACAGCGCACTGAAAATGTGATTTAATGCGTGGACACCAGGATTTTATTAACAAAGCTTGTAAAGAGTCGTGGATTTTTGTAAAAACGGTATCCATTTAACTTGATAATGATTTTTTTTTTAAATAATTTTTAATAATGTAAACTAAATCTCTTATTATGCAACTTTTATATAGGTGAGTTCTGGTATATCAACTTCTTTTGATGAGTTCTAAAAGCTCTTAAAATAAATGATTTAACTTCGAAAACACACTGTCAACTTTATCATATGGCATAATTGGGCTGAAAAAAATCGAGTACCTATTTACTATGCAAAAAAGAGTGCTACATTTACTTCAAGGCCCGATCAGAATGTCTAGCTGCAGAGTTTCTTTCAATCAGTTGGGAATACCAGCTTTGTCATCCATTTTCGAGCTGTTGTTACATGTATAGTCTAATTTAGATGATTTTCAGAATCAGAGCGACCATAACAGGTACTTAACAAGAAATTCGCTTATCCTACAGGTTCGCACACACAGATTGTCTCGAACAGAGTTCTGCCCGAATCAAATGGATGTTGTTCATCAAATTGCCAAACACCATCAGTTCCCTGACACTCACTGTTTTCAGGCATGAATTTAAGGCACTATTAAAAAGTAAAGCATATTACTATTTGAATGAGTACTTGTCAGATACCCTGGTAAATGACCAATATTAGTAATTCTGACAATATGGTTTATGATAATCCTTACTGTGATATACTATATCTCAATTTTAGCAGTTACCGTTTTTATTTATTTTTATATTCTATGTTTTTTGAATATCTATCTATTTTATTTATACAGGATGTTCCTTAATGATATGTGAATATTTAAGGGTGTGAATCTACATGAAAAATTAATGTTAGTTTGCTTTATAATATGGTCCAAAAATGTTTTCTTACAAAAACTCGGGGTGTTGAAGTTTTAGGAAAAAAATGGAAATTAATTAATATTTTCAGAACCGCTTTAGATATTTCACTGATATTTAGTACGTAGTGAAAGTTAATAAAGTTGCATATTTTTCAAGGCTAAAATAATTTTTAGCTTTAACAGTGGCGTGCGTACGGGTATTGACCAATGGTTTTTTGCCAAAAAAAAATTATTTTTGAATTCCCCGTTCGATTCAAAACAAATGATCCCTCTTGAACTGTTTTCCTTCGATGCGCCATTTTTGAGTAAACAAATAAAAACCGTTCTATTGTCCGAGAAAATTAATGTAATAATTATTGAAGAATGCAATTTAGCAATAAATATCTAGTTGCTCCGGCATATGTCACTGGCTTTTGACATCTGACAAGTCTCTGTTATTCAAATCTGTTCGCTAACATCTTTTTTATTATTTAGTTTTTACAATCTTGTTAATAATGGTGAATTATTCAAATGTAGATGGCGAAAATGCATTAAGTATATGGCCTTGCCGACGGTATTGGTGAGCAAGCCAGACGGATTTATCACCAGAGATATCCCGATCGTTCTTTGCCAGATAGTCGAACCTTTTCTAATTTGCATCGTCGTCTTGTTGAAACTGGTTCTGACCGAAAAGGAACACCTGAAGGTAGACCTCTAAGTGTGAGAACACCTGAAATTGAGGAAGCAGTGGTGCACGAAGTCTTAGAACATCCTGAAACGAGTACGAGGAAGATCGCTAGATACTTAAATATTTGCTATCAAATTGTTTGGAGAATTTTAGTGGATTTTTTGTTATATCCTTACCATATTTTAAGAGTACAGGCATTACTTCCCACTGATTTTCCAAGGCGTGTGACCTTTTGTCAGTGGTAACTTCAAGAAATTACACAAAATCAGCAATTTGGATCAATGATTCTGTTCATGGACGAAGCTAATTTTTCTCGAAATTCCATTCAGAATTTCCACAATAATCATTTGTGGGCAGAAGTAAATCCCTATGCCGCAACCGAAACCCATTTCCAACACCAATTTTCGGTTAACGTATGGACAGGAATTATTGGCAACCACTTTATTGGCCCATTTTTCTTGCCGGGACGACTTGACTTACATCAATTTTCTTCAACAACAGTTGCCTTTGCTGCTTGATGATTAGTAATAAGAAACAATATGTGGTACATGTATAATGGTGCACCAGCGCATTTAAGTGTAGCGGTTCGTAATTTTACAAACTGTTTATCCAAATCGTTCGATTGGCCGCGATGGGCCCCAAGAATGGCCACCAAGGTCCCCAGACCTCAACAGTTTAGATTTCTTTTTGTGGAGCTATCTTAAGACACTAGTGTACACAAGTCCCATTAACATTGTAGAGAAATTAAAAGAAAGAATACTTGCAGCTTGCGATAATGAAAAACACTCCAGGGATATTTCAACGAGTGCGCAATTCCATGAGAACGAGGGTGGAAGCATGCATACTAAGTGAAGGGAGCCATTTTCAACAATTTTTGTAATCATTTCGTTGGTTTTAATGTCATGTTTATGTTGTTAGTTGTTGTTATTCATTACCCCTAATGTGTTTAATTTTTCCAATAAAATTAATAATAATTTTGCAAGTTAGACAATAGAACGGTTTTTATTTTTTTACTCAAAAATGGCGCATCGAATGAAAACAATACGGAAGAGATCATTTGTTTTAAATTGAACGGGGAGTTCAAAAATAATTTTTATTTGGCAAAAAACCATTGGCGTACCATTTTTTTCTTAAATAATATCGAAGTCAATACCCGTACGCACGCCACTGTTAAAGCTAAAAATTATTTTTGCATTGAAAAATATGCAACTTTATTAACTTTCCCTACGTACTAAATATCAGTGAGATATCTGAAGCAGTTCTGAAAATATTAATTAATTTCCTAAAACTTCAACAACCCGAGTTTTTGTAAAGATGCATTTTTGGACCATAGTTTATAAAGCAAACTAAGATTAATTTTTTATGTAGATTCACACCCTTAAATATTCGCAAATAAATATTCATAGCTTCATAGCAATATTTTAATCTGTTTTTCAATGTTTGATTTTAGTTAAATGTTTGTATATTTTATCTTTCAATGTTTTTTTTTAATTTTGAGTGTCTCGTATTAATACGTGTCATCTACTTATTTATTTTCTGTATATTTTTTACTCTGTTGCCTCCGTTGACGTAGTCTATGTCACTTTATGATTATCTAACAGAACTAATGAAGAAATGAAAAAAAAAAATGAAATAACACATTAATGGATCCATCTCTGTCATTGGCGATTTCGGTTAAAGTTGCATAATTGAATTTTCTCTTCAACCCCACGGATTTTTCCGACGTCACGGCAACATCGCACTCGAGGGCGCTCTCCGCACCTCAGCTTTTCTCTCCATCTTGACAACTCCGCTCACAGAGCAAACCTCCCCTCCATTTCGCGGTATTGATCCATCGCTTGAACGGCTCCAACCAAACACCTGGGCTGACACCCTTCACTAAGAACTTCACATTCACTTCATATCCTGGACGGTTATTAAACACACACAATTCATACTCTTCTCTGCAAACTTTGCAGGCTATCGGGGGTGTTGTCTGAAACGACAGGTTGTTACCGTGGTATTCAGTGTCTCGTAAAAGCGTCATTTCAAATATGTAACGATACGGTGAGTTTTTTATTCGATTGCAGATGGGTATACTACTTATGCAAGAGTAAAGTTATATTAATGAAATTTTTCTAGATATCAAAATAAATATCAAAGATATTTCGGCATCATATCTTCACGTAATCCCACGCTACCAGACGGAGTAGTATGTTTAATTCTATAGGCTTACGAATTTAAGATAATACGTTTTTGCACAAATTTCATCAAAAATAATCGGTCATTGGAAATTCTGTCACTTTGCTCAAGAATCCTTGACCTCTCTAAGATTCGAAGGCCACCAATATAGAAATTCAAATAAATTTTATTGTATACAATTCGTCTATGTGTAACGAAATGACATAAGAATGAGAAAATGATAATGCTCAAAGCTGCTGATTATGGCATTGGAAAATTATTACTGAGTTGTAGGTAGTGTAAAATATAACAAAGGCGTTACGTCGAACATTCATTGTCTAAAAAATTTGTTTTTTTTCGATTTAAGTAGATAGGCTTTGAAAATTTTCAAAAATGCGCTAAAAGCTAGATTCGAAATGTGTACGATCTTTGGATGTCCATGCCTGTTAAAAGCGATCTTCATATTACTGTATTTGATGAAACACGTACATTTATACTGTTAATAGAAAGGATGAAGTTTTAATTGTAGGAGTACGATCAAGATGAACCTAAGGACACCTCAAATGTCAAAATCCATCAAACCGTTTTGGCTGTACATAGAAATATTAGAATTTTCAAAATTAAAATATGCGATTAAAATCTGCCATTTTGATTTTATAAATTTTAGTATACCGGGCGATTGTCCAAGGGATCACACCTATCACTTTTTCATTATTGAAGATAGAAAAACGAAAATTGGGGGTTACGAATTGTATATGAATTTACATTTTTGCTTGCTTTGACGTACTTTCGGTTTGACCGGAAACGACTCCTACTTTAGATTTTCATATGGGACTCCCGAAAAAAAGCGGCAATATTCTACCAGCGGTTTCTAGAGCTTAAAATAGGAAGAAAAGTTTATATAAACATAGGTCGACTACGGCGCTACGGTCTTTTAAAGGGGCTCCCCTGAAGATGGTTTTTCCTTCATATTTTCGAAACGTGTTGAGATAAAAACATAAAATTTGGTATTCTAGCCTAGTGTTTTATGCTGGATTTAAAAATATTGTCAATTTTACACAGTTTTGTTTGGAAGCGTATGTAACAGGGACGGACTCAGGTTATTTTAGCCTCAAAATTTTTGTGTGATTCTATTTTTGAAATTCAATTTTAGAATTTGAAAATTTAGGGTTTTCTACATAAAAAGGTACTTTTATTGAATATCGATAAATTGTGCCATTTTTGAATAAAATCAAACTAAAAAATTTGTCACATGATAGGAAATGTACTGCGAATTTAAATGAATTGTTGATTGTACATAGTTAGCCATGACTGCAAACAAAAGTTGTTTTGATTTGTTATGACTTATTTTGACGTTAAGCTGACATTGTTAGCAGTGTAAAATTACTAGATTAAAATCAAAATTTTTATTAAATAGATTTAAAATGCCAAGATTTACAAACAGAGAACTGACTGATACGCATTTTGTGTACGGGTTTTGCAATGGCAGTTCATTGGCAGCCAAAGAGAATATCAAAGAAGATTTCCCAATCGCATAGTACCTGGACGTCGAATGTTTACTGATATTCACAGGAATTTGTCAAACCATGGAGGTTTTCAGCGCATGCAGGGCTCTGGAAGGCCCCTGGGAAATCATCGTATGGATATTGCTTTAAATATGTTTGAAAATAATCCGCAAAAAAGCATACGAAATGTTTCAGAAATTATGGATAGACCTCGATCAATAGTAAGAAAAATGTATGAATACCTATTTGATAGTTATCCTAAAAATAATAATTTTAGATAGGAAGAATGACAAGAATGTAAGGATTACATCCTTATCATTTTAAACGGGTGCAGCATGTAACGGAGGCAGATTCTTTAGCACGAATCGAGTTTTGCCAGTGGATATTAGCAAATATTATGGTCGGATGAGTCAATATTTACTAGGAATGGTGCTTTTAATTTCCATAACATGCATCACTGGTCAGATGAAAATCCAAAAGTTGTTCGCCCTACAAATTTCCAACATAGATTTTCATTGAACTTATGGACAGGAGTAATTGGGGATCAAGTAATTGGGCCTATTGTACTTCCCAATCGTCTTAATTCAGAGGTGTATTTGAAGTTTCTTCAGAATTAGCTCATGGTTATAATACCATTGGATGTGCGCCAGCAGTTTCAAGAAAATATGTTTTTTCAACATGATGGCGCCCCTGCACATTTTAGATGCAATGTTCAAAATTGGTTGAATGTCAATTTTCCAGACAGGTGGTTAGGCCGAGGAGGTCCTATAGCGTGACCGCCACGTTCACCTGACCTAAATCCATTGGATTTCCATTTTTGGGGGTCATTTAAAGACCTAGTTTACTCGACTGAAGTAAATACTCAAGAAGATTTACTTCAAAGATTCCATCAGGCTACAAATGAAATAAGAAGAAAAAGGCTTTCCACTTTTCGGGCTACGCAATCATTAGTTCGTCGAGCGAGACTCTGTATCCAACAAAATAGGAATTTATTTGAACACTTATTGTAAAGCTTGTTTTAAGTACATCCAACTGTATGTCTCCTTTTTTAAACAAATTTCAATTTCGTTTGTAGAAAAAAATTATTTCTTTTGTTTTTGCCTAAATGCTATGTTGCAATAGAAATATGTATTTATGTAATATTTACCAATTATTAAATTACCTAGTTTTTTCGTTGCCATGGCTAATTATTCAACAATTCATTGAAATTCGCAGTACATTTCCTATCAAGTGGCAAATTTTTTAGTTTGATTTTATTCAAAAATGGCACAATTTATCGATATTCAATAAAAGTACCTTTTTTATGTAGAAAACCCTAAATTTTCAAATTCTAAAAATGAATTTCAAAAATAGAATCACACAAAAATTTTGGGGCTAAAATAACCTGAGTCTGTCACTGTTACATACGCTTCCAAACAAAACTGTCTAAAATTGTTAATATTTTAATTCAGCATATAAAACTAGGCTAGAATACCAAATTTTATGTCGTTTATCTCAACACGTTTCGGAAATATTAAAGGAAAAAACCATCTTCAGGGCAGCCCCTTTAAAAGATTGTAGCGCCCTTAGGGGACGTTTGTCGACCTATGTTTATAAACTTTTCTTCCTATTTTCCTATTTACTTATTTCGACCGAGAATGACATTATGTTCTTAATAACGCCTCACTTGTCAATATTTGACATATAATGTCATTTTTATTGTTTGTTCTACAATGCCATGGATTCTGTAAGTCGCTCCATTTTTGGTCAAGTAACAATACGATTTTGAGGCGATCGATCTTACAGTCATTTTAAAGTTTTCTAAAAGTTACAGACACTAATTTTTTTCAGTTAACTTTATTTTTTCAAATAGAAAGCGGGTAGCACGTCGGCTTTTTCTAAGAGACCATTTTCTTACGAATAATTTGACAGTTCACACTCTTATTCTATTTTCACCATTTTTCTGGATAATTGTAAGAAACGATCATATCTAATAACAAGTAATACTATACCTATTAGTCTAATCATATTAGCAAAGTCTGAAAACTTTCTATTTGACAACAAAGAATGAGAAAACGTTTTTTTTTTTGGGATTCAATCGAAAGTGTTGACAGGAACGAAAAACTTTTCATATAAGATTTTTAGGTATTTATGAGACCTACAAAATGAGATCACATGTAAATAGAGCCGACTAATAGCAAAAATTTTATGGCCGAAAACAAGGCAAAATACAGGATTTGGCACTTGTTGGTAATGCGACGATAATTTTACGCAGCTACTTGAAATTCTTCAAATCCGTAGGATTCATACTTCTAAATAACAACATTAAAATTGGAGTATATTGCTCAATTAGTTTTTTAGAATTTCTAATTGTTTATTCCAAAGCACCTGTTTTCCGGCCTAGTTTATTGAGCAATATACAGGGTTCGTTCAAAGAGAATTTAATAGCAAAATAGCCGGGTTCACCTTGCCGATGAATCATATGAAATATGAATGTTATTTTTCGAAAAACAAAGGTTACGTTTTTTTTTCTAAACAAATTCAAACATTTCGTATTTGTGAGTAATTGAACAAATGCGCTACGATATTCGAAAAACATACGTTCATAATCTTTTGTTGCGCATTACTCACAAATACGAAATGTTTGAATTTGTTTAGAAAAAAAATTGCACCCACACTTTTTTGCATAAAAATAACATTTATTTTTTGGAATGGTTTGCGATTCATATCGGCAAGTGTATTTTGCTATAAAATACCCTTTGAACTAACCCTGTATATTGCTGAATAAACTAGTAGTGATGGTCGGAAAACAGGTGTTTTGGGATAAACGATTAGAAATTCTCAAAAATTACTTGACCAATCTACTCCAATTTGTTGTGGTTATTTAGAAGTACGAATCCTACGAATTTGAAGAAGTTCAAATATCTGCAAGAAACCGTCGTCGCATTAGCAACAAGTGCCAAAACTTGTAGTTTGCCTCGGTTTTCGGCCATAACTTTTGCTATTAGTCGGATCTTTTTACGTGTGGTCTCATTTTATATAGTTCTTATAAATACCTAAAAATCTTTTTTCGTTCCCGCCAACACTTTCGATTGAATCCGAAAAACACATTTTTTCATTCTTTGTTCCCAGAAAAATTGGTGTACCCATTTTTTGCGTCCATGTTTTGAATATCCTCTTGAATAACTAATAAAACCAGACTTTACAATTATTTCGCAAACCAGAGGTATTTTTGTCTAATAATTATATATTATATATATTATGATTAGACTATATCTGCATTCGGTATACCTATGCACTAAGTCCTATTATTATAGTCATCTGTGACAAACAATTGAAGGTGTTGCTAGGGTTACTTCGACAAATACCTAATCTAGGTTATTAAAAATATAAGTTTTTTAA